GCAGGGTGGATGCCTATGGGGGTAGGAAGAAAAATACTTATACAACCACAGATGTGGGTTTTTATCCTTTTCAATGCAGAAACCATTTAAAAACATTTTTGTATGCAACAGGTATAACAAAGCCCTTTTTTGACTAATACTCCCAAGGCAGTGTTAGCAATGCATCCTCAGTATGTGGGAATTCACAAGAACGGGCAGAGGTTCGTCGGTGATGGGAAACAGAAGCAGCTGGTGGAACATGGCCCCCAGCCCTGGATGACTTTCCTCATGATTTATCTCAAGAAATCCTCCACTTGCAGTACAAGGGGATGGAACATTTTCTATAAGGGTGAACAAGGTGAACCATCGGGTAACTCTGAAACAGCAACTTCTGTGGTGTTCAGTGGCAGCATAAAGTGCAGGAATGTTGTCAGAAATATTCCTGTGATATTGAAAATGGGTTTTCTTTGTGGTGTTTTAAGACCTTTTCTACCACTATTGCTATTCCTTCATAATTGTTTTGAATTGTGTGGGAATATAAATGAAGGGGAAGGATTTTGGTTTATCCTTCGTAGTGACTGCAGCTGACTCTTACACACTGTTTCAGGCTGATCCCAGCTCTCGTGCCTGCCATCACAACAATAAGGCTCTTGCAAACCAGTGGTTTTGCTCAGCCAAGCAGGGTTCACAGGCTGGCTACCCAGCTGGGTTGGTCTTAGAGAGATGGGCAAAATCACTGTAGTCTCTTGGCTGACTCCACCCCAGTTTGAAGCCCTGGCCAAGCACAGAGGAGCTATTTAATTTACTCTGCTCTCGGAGAAATACACGCTCCAAACATGTTGCCCATTTAGCCACTGACTGTTTCATTCATAATTAGGTGGGATACTGCTGAAGAGAAGTAAGATTAGAATGAGATAAAAAGATCATTATAAACATGAAATAAATGGTTTCAAAAGCATGAAAACCAATGAATCTTGTTTTCCCTGTGGACCTGGGTATTGAATTGCACGCTTGTGTGAATTCTCTGATGGCTAATAAGGTTGGAGTTCATCAAGTCCCTTTCTCCCAGAGAAGAGGGATGGATTAACAGGAGCTTTGTCCTCTGCTCAGCTGCCTGCTTTGTTGAAACTTGTGAGGATGTATTATCTCACAGATCCTTACTGTTCTGTTATCTTTTGGTTGAAATTGCCAATGGATTCAAATATTATTGGGAGACTCCCACATAAGCAAACACACACGCAGTGACAGTAGAAGCTCGTATCTTTGGGAAACCTAGCTAAAAAGGACTTCCAGCGCAAGTTTCTTTAAATAATCTATTCAAACTCACAAACTGCATGAAACAGCGGCACAAATTTTAAGGGGGTTTAGCAATAGGACCTTACCTATGCTGAGCTTGAAGTCTGGTTCCTATAGGCAGGCAAGCTCACTACTAAAATACAACAGTGATGGAGCTTAGCGTTACAGTGTTATTCATCTTTATTGCTTAAAGCCAGCCAAATTACTCCAACCTATTGATGGGAAGAGGTTGCCTTTCTTTTGTACTCAGTAATTCCTAGTTCCGGATGGCAATGTACATGGGTAACCCGTAAATAGCCACATTTTTCCATCCTGTGCCTCTAATAACCACTGCCTTTTCTTTGCTGCCAAGGTATTGCTCTCAAGTGAGAAAAGTTTTCTTCTTTTTTTCTAAAAGTAGTGGAAAGAGGGAAAACATGCTGGTTATGGTTATACACCCTGTTCCCAAGTTTTGGTTTTAATTCTCTTCTGAGGCTTTGAAAGAAGTTTTAGTTTAAATCCAATGTGACTTGCAAGCTCGTATGCCAAATTCTGTTTTCTTTACCAGAGTTAGTGGTTAAATGTGCAGATAGGAGCTCAGTGGGAGGCAGGAGATGCTGGCTCTGGGCTAAGATAATGCCAATCTGCAGTAAGTGGCTCTTGCCTCTGTATGTGGTGTAGTTATTAGCCCCTGCTGCAAGACTTTGTGCCAAGAGCTGGCAGATGTTCCCTCACTCAGGATCGGGGCTTCCAGCTCTCGACGCAGCCAGGCCTTGCTGAGTGCCGTTCAAAACTGGCAGCAGGGCTGGGGTTTGTATCGGTCACCTGTGTTGAAGGACTCCTGCTGCATGAGGGTGGACCCTGCTATTTTGGAACATGCCATTCTGAAGGAGTTTCGTGTTTGCACTGCTCTTGGTTTGTTAATGGCCCTTCCTCTGCTCCATACCCTTTTTTTTTGCTTGGGACTGTACAATGTAACTGCTTTTAGCCCACGTGCCTAACATCTGTGCATGAATTAGCTGGATGATCCATAAGCTAGCAACTATGTGTATGCAGATGTTAGGAGTCTACGAGAAAAAATGCTGAAGACCAGTACAGCTGATCTTTGCTCTTGTAATAGAAGGCAAGGGATCCTTTTCTATTAGCTAAACTTTTGTTTCAATATCATGTTGGATATTGGGTCTTCCTAAATGTCCACTGTAGCTGTAAGGAGGGCTTGTAATGTCTCCACACCACTGGAACAGCTGGGTTAAATTACTGACCTGTGGTCTGTCTGTGAATATCTTTGGGAAATCAGGTAATGCGAAAACATGGGTCACTGACAGTTGTTTTTCACAGAGCATTTTAGACTACAAATCTGCAGGACGTATTGCTTGCTTTGAATTTATTTCTGCATATAACCACAAGCTAGCAAGTTCACTGGCTCGTGGACTTATTCTATTTGTAAAGTCCGGTGCCAGTTTGTTGAGTTCAAAACCGTTTAATGGGGTGTGTGTTTGGAAGGGACAGCACATGTGGCCCTACTGCTGTCTCCCTCCTGGGGCTATTTTTTGCAGTTATGGAAAGTTCAGTTTGCTTAGCATGCAAGACTTCCATATGTTCTGTGTATTGTTTATTTTATGATACCAAAATATTATTGTTAGTTGCCACTAAAATATTCTCGATCTAAACATTGTTTAAATTTGCCTAAAAATTAATCAAAATGTCCCGTGTGGGATGATGTGTGGTAGTTCTGATTTTGGTTGCTGATATGGTGCAAATGTTGAAAAATTATTTGGAGTTGTTTTAGGGTGCGGATAGGCATGCAAGTTGTACCCTATTCAGAAGAGCCATTTGACTGAATTAATATGTATCCTGAATCATCTCAAATTGTACCTAGTGGCTGATTAATCTGGTAAAATTGTGTGACTCTTCAATAGACTGGAGGCTAAAGGTTGTAGCAGAGAAGAGGCAGCTGAGAAGACCACCTTTGTACTCCATTGAACTTGGGATGAGACTGGGACTTTGGAGCCCACAGAAAAACTGATAGTCTCAAGGACCCTCCTAGATTAGCAACGTCAAATGCCTGTTTTTCAGCCTTTTATTTTTTTATAAAGAGTACATGAAAGCTATCCCCTTTCTTGTTTGGTGATTTATCATTCCGGACTGTTTCTGCAGAAGCCTGCTGCTCAAAGAGAAGGGGCAGCAGGTCCTGATCTGTTAGGAGGTTGAGGTCTCGCAGGATGTGACAAACGTTAATGTGTAGGAGTGTTTCTTTTATTATTACATTCTGCTTAAAAAGTTGTAATGTCAACTGGCGATAAGGTCGTCAGTTGACCTTACTGCCAGGCAACGAGGAACTGGTGAAGAAGCTTTCCACATCGCTCATTTGTGTTCCCTAGTAACTCCTAACTGCGGGTATTGCTGCCTACTGTCCTGATCAATGTTCCTTTCTGTACCAGCTGGCATTGGTAACAATCATCTCAGTACCTACACAGACTCTGTTGGCTTGTATAGCTTGACTCTCCTAAAAGTATGAAACACTTTCAATACAAAATAAAATTTAACTGGTAATAGTTCTGCTTCAATAAAATGCTATGTTAGGCAACATAGTATAAACGCTGTTAGGAAAAAAATAGCAATAGAGAAGGGAAACGGGTTTCATACAGATAGGTGACTGACCTGTTGCTCCTCAGCTGCATGCAGCTTGCTAGCACCTCGCCTGCGGCTGTGGTTGTGTCAGGCAATAAGCAGCCGGGTGGGGAGAGGCAGCTCCTCAAGAGCAGTGTACCCAACATCACCAGCGTGCCGTACGACTCAGCTGTACCTCCTGTTTCTCAGCGGACTAAGGAATTCTGTAGGAAACCATGTGCAGAACTCTCCTCAGATCTGTTCCCAGACATCTGCCAACTTTTGGGAGAATGCGTTGCCATTACCAGCCACAGGAAACCTGGGAGTCAAGAAAAGTAGCCACTCTTGGGCTGGCGTATCCCTCGGTAGTTGCTTCCAGGAATGAACACGTGTTTGTTTTCGACTTTTTAATACAAAATTACAGATGGCACAATTGTTCTCATCAATTTCAACTTTGCTACTTTGTGGAAGTAACAAAATTCCAGTTAGACCCAATCTGTGGATTCCTTAGTTGGAAACTCAGTGAGATTTGTCTCTGCTGCCATTTCTTTCTTTTGAAGATCCCTGCCTCTCTGAAAATGTGAGTTGACTTACATCTCCTTGAGTGATACTTCTCACAGACACTATGGAAATACTTTCTAGTATAACTATTAACTTTGAAATGATGCATGATGTAATAGTTATAATCCTTCAAATTTCTTTACACTGTAAATGCTGAAAGGCTGTGCCATGACTACTACTTTGAGTTGTTTTACTGTCTTGTTTGGAAGCATGCTCCTGTGGGAATACAGTAGGACTAATTTTTATTCCACTTAAAAAAAAAAGATTAAAGCCGGTACAGAAAGGTCATGGGTGATGCACAAACTCTGTAAAAATCGAGATATAGCATTTTTGCTGAAGATGCTTTTTAAGAGCAGATCTGTACTATTCTGATCTGAATGTAGTGAGGCTGGATTTGTTGTTTTGTTTTTTTTTTTTTTTTTTTTTAAAGCTTAAATCTAGAAGTATTCAATGGCTGGGTATCTTACCTTGAACACGTAACATTATGGCTACTGCAGTTCTTCAGAGTTAACAAAATTGAGAAGGAAAAGAAACAAGTCTAATTATGTTAGTCTATGGTAACGTTCTTGCATAAATTAGTGGACATAATACAGCCAGTAAACAACATTGAAAAGAATAAATGTGATGGGAAAGACCATTCTGGACCACTTGTCTATCGAGTTAACATCAGTCAAATCAGGGATTTTAACTTTGATCTGGGATGCCCTTCTTCGTAAGCGTCCTTTTTTATGAAGCCTGTGCCTGTCCAAAGCACTCCTACTGTAGAGGTCTCTGCTGGAAGTGGCTCTTCTGTACTGCAGGTTGGCACTGTCGTACGTGTACATGGTGGCTCGGGGGTCACCGTGGCTCGTGAACACGTCTGAGCTGCTGACATCATTTCGTATTTCAAGTGGGCTAAGAAGCATGTTTCCATGGGGATCAACCTGTGTCAAGGAAGGAATGTGAATTAGACAAGTTCCTCAGCCAGCCCAAGGTGTCTCCCAGATGGACAGGTACCTTCCGGCTCTACTGCCAAGGTGCTCCTGGGGCTGCAGTGACAGTCGTGTCTTGTATAGCATCGACGGAAGTGAAAATACGCTTTCCTGACTGGTGTGAAATTATCTGTTAGGTATCTAAATATCTTCCATTCTGACCCAGCCCTTGGTCTGGGACCTTTTCATTCAGTTAGTTATCTCATCCCCTGTAAAGTAAAAGTTTTCTAATTTTATCGTTAACCTGGATCATGGTCTTTGTGAAATACTGAGTTTTAATGTCTGGTGACCTGACACCCAAAGCTTTCATGTACTCAAGGTGAAAAAAAAATATCGCTGTCTCTGTCAATTGTATACAGTTTTAGTGCTGTAGGTTAGTTTCAAGAACAGTTTTGTAACAATGGGTTCATCATATGAGGAACATATAGGTACATGTGCATTTTATCAGTTATTGTAATATGCTTGTGATGAGAATTAATTTTGGAGAATTACTATATTGCAGAGATGGAAATCCCTACTCCCCACAGCATACCATTAACTTGCTCACGTGCAGATAGAATAATCCGTTTTACTCAATGAAACCTCGCATTCAGTTGCATTTTTGTATGTTGGTACCAGAAGCAGTTGTTTCAAATATGTTTATCGCTTGCTTTATTTATGCTGTTAGTTAGTCACGGCACTGTTTTAAGTACCTGAACAAAGAACTGGAAACTGCAACCAGTATGTACATGTCTGGTGCAAACTATATATATATATATAAAAATATAAAATATTTTAATATCATTGCCTTTTTTATATATGAATGTAATTAACCATGAATGGCTGCATTACTACAAAGTGTTTACCTTTTCACTCATCTTTAGTTTTCTACATGTTTGTAGTAAAACCTCTTTTTAGGAAAAGTTTTTTGGTGCTTCCAGGATGACTCCTGACTTCTCTGTAAAGACTTCCTAGATGTTTCAAATTCCCAGATATTTGAACATCCACTGTAGCTCATATGAGTGAAATACACATCAGGACACAGACCTCTGAAGTGAAACTTCAAAGACTTCGCCTTCAGGCTTGAGTATTAAAATTGTTTTTTGTAAACTGTGGCGTTTGACCTACCCCAAATATATTACAACCTCTACCATGGCTGTCTGGGGATGCCTTTATACCAAGGAAAAAAAAAATTACTTATTGACAATATCTAGTGTTGTGAAGCATCAGTGGTATGCAATGCTTTGTTCGCACTCTGAGTTTTATATTTTTAGCAAGATATAGCAGAGCTAGGAAGTGGTATAATAATCTACAGCACGTTTGAAGTATGTTCAAGAAAAAACTCCAAGCAGAGGACACGGTGAAATCCAGTCTCTGGGGGCTGCCGCAGAGGAAAGCTGGAAGCCAGAGAAAGCCTCGGTTCCACCTGGCAGCGTGGAAGATGTTCCTTCCCTGTGCCAGAAGGAGAAAATATTGCATGATGACTGCTGGCGTATTTACGCTGTGCCAGACTAAGCACTTACTAACTGAAAACAAAGAAGTGAAGGGGCTATTTGTACAAAAGCCACCCAGGAGAGCTGTGGGGAAAAAAGGTCTTCTAAATGGAGTAATAAGTCACCACAGATAGATAGAAAATGCAGTAGTCAGATTTAGCAACTGATTCCGTACACTCTGAAATGAGCATTCAGTGGGAACATCCCAGTTCCCACCACTGTTTTGGTGGGAAAAACTCACATATTCTGGGTTGGAGAGGCCAGCTGGTCACAAACCAGCATGGTGTTTGCAATCTGTACTTGAGATATGGGCTACCCAGTTTATACTTGTTAGGCCAAGTCTTCCAATTTAAGCACAAGGAAGATCTAAGCTAGGGTTTCCTACTATCCAGAGGACTGCCATAACTATGGGACTATTCATTACTCCTAAGTTTTGACATTCTCTGTGGAAAAAGCAATGACCTCAGAGCTGTCTCCATGTAAAAAGAGATTTTTTTTAAAATTCTCAGTTTTGGTAAGTCAACCTTTTCTTCCCAGTTTTACGAAATAGCTCTTTGAGCTGTCTTTGACTATATAATCTAAAGTTTAAGCTAATTGACTTTAGTGTTATAATAGTAGTAACAGTAGTGCAAGCATCATTAAGCAGTTATTATGGCTCCTCTTTTGTGACGACAACTCATAACTGCCTACAATCTAAAGTGGTTCATAGGGATATTTCTTAAACTAATATGCCCTGACAGTTTATTACAAGCCAAGCAGCGTATGAATTCCTGCTTTAAGTGTTATGAATGAACCTGTTATATTTTAAAATGAGTTTTATTTAAATCATTTTAGGCGGGATGATTTGTATACATCATGAAGGAATTCAGTCTTTGAATTGCAGTCTTTGCAATTCAGAGCAAAGGGCCTTACACTGATCTTGAATAAATTAGCTCAGAGAAGTATAAAAGCTCTTCTTATGTACCTGGGTCAAATTCTCTGCTTGTGCAACATGAAGCTGGACTAATAGTTAATTTCCCACATCGTTAAGAACCCTTTCAGAATTTATTGAAGTTCACTCCACAAGATTCTTAAAACTTGTGCAGCTGAGGAGTTACTGAAGCATAGGAGTTCTACAAATTCCCATAGGAATCTGGAAAACATACAAATTGCTAAGGGATCCCCAAAAGAGACTTGTTGTTAGTTTTGTTTATGTTAATGTTAGAATGAATTAACAGCAAATATGTGCACAGTAAAAGCTGTAAATTTTCTGTCTTAAAATCTTTTCTCCCTTACTTAATACGAGGTTACCTGGGGCTTGCTGTTGGTCCTGGGCTGGAGGAAGCCTATGCATTAGAAACAGCCAGCAGGCTTTAAGTAATTCCACCCCATGTCTCAGTGATGAGGCTCTTTCCCCACATCAGGTACATACTGCAGTTTTACACAGTCTTTGACACATTTGCATCAGATGGCATGACAAAAAATGGGGATGGAAGAGACAAGGCTCTGTCTACTCAGTTTTCTGCCCCACTAGCTGGCTGCCTGCTTAGGAGTAGAGTATCTTAGTCCCCTCCTTAGGTAGGAAAGATTAGCCACATCAAGCCCAGAGTAGTTCTTCCTTGCTCGGATATTACACATTTATCCTTTCAAATACCACCTTGTTGTTCTTTAAATGGAATGCCCTATATTTTGTTACATAAACTGACCATTGCTCAGGTGAAAACAGGATTTCTTGCTTAACAGATATTCTGAGCCTAAATGTGTGTTTGCATCAACATATACACTTTGCCTTGTTTGTACAATGCATAAATTTTGCCTAAAGTTGTAGAAAGCTGAAGAATTGGGGTTTTTTTGTCTTTTGAACACACCATGAAGAATATGTAAGGAGGATGTCAAAGCATCTAAAGCTGACGTTGTGTTAGTCATCTGGTATAATTATCAAAGTCTAAATATTCTTCAGAAGCATGTATGTGGTGATGCTTCTTGTAATGAGATTTGTATCTATATTGAGTGTGTATCTGCATTGAGTTTATAGATTTTTAATTCTTCGTTTGCACTGGAACTACCTAAAGCCTAAATCAGCCCAGGTACATATATATGAATCTTCGTCAGTGATGGAAAAGCCTTGATGTGTGCTCAGGAAACATCATGAAAAGAAATAATAATCTGGCTTGTATGTTTACTTAGAAAATGAGTTTCCTGCTTAGGAACATCAAATGATATTGTGTAAGTCTAAAATAGTTAAAGTAATAAAAAAAACCCAAAACAACAGTCCTGTGTTGACCACATAAAAAGTAGCCAGTCAGTTCTAGGGGAAGAGCATGCTGGCATTCCTTGACAGAGGATGGGTCTCAAATGCTTAGTGTTGTCTGGAATGGGTTTTTACCTACCTACTTTTTTTACATTAGCTGTTGGGAGAAAAAAGGTAAGAACTTTTGTTTTGTCTCAATACAAAAACATCTTTTCTTTCTCTTAAGATGAAAGATTCAGGGCCATGTTACTCATACAAACTATCTTGTTGGAACAAATGCAGTAGTGTTATCACAATCTGATCTGCAAAGAAACAGGTTATGCTCAGCAGGGATATACTTATTCAGGTGTGGATTTACTTGAAGGTTAAGGTAGTTGTGTGGTTATGTGCTCCCTCCTTTTTCTCCTTCCAGTAGCCTCTGTACTGGAAAATTTTATGTTTTCCTTGGAGTCTGCGGCTGGTCTCTGGCTTTCCATCCCAGGTGTTCTGTGGTTCACAGAAGGTTTGAAAGGAAGGTGTGATGCTGTGCAGAACTGGGGAGCAAGAGACCATCTATCACCTGCCTTGTGTTGCCATTTATGAACCCCTTGATGGCTCAGCCCCTTTCCCACTCACATTATGATTGCATCCTACCTCTTCCTTATGCTTAAGAGACATCTTCTGTGTAATGATTATTCACATTATAATTGCCTGGGGAAACAGCAGCAGTTGCATGCATAGACTATCTAAATATTTTCTTGCTGGGTAGTTTGTCCTATTTATCCTTGATTATGGTGATTTCCTCAGTGACATCTAGCTTCGACAAATGGACAAGGAGATATAAACAATCTTTATGCTTTATTCAGAGAAACAGAAAGCTTGTTTACTACAAATTAATATTTTTTTTTGCATATTAAAGATTAAAATGGCATAAACTGTGACACTGGAGGCTTTATTTCCATCTTCTTCAGTCTGTAGAGCAAGGAACAGCCACATATGAAACAGCAGTATGGTTTCATTTTCCATCTGGTCTTCTCTATACTGTGTTAATATTGCGGTCAGTTTGCTGAGTGTTGCTCACGTCTAACGCTTTTGTTATCTGGTGAAGGAATTTGAACTCTTTTAGTCATGGGAGTTGTATGTCAGATGGCAATGAGCAATATCTTCACCTGGCACAAAGAGAGGAAGCACTGTTACATATCTTCTATTGGCTATAGGTCCCTGTATGGATAAGTGGTATGGGTCAAGAGTAAAAGGGGAAAAAATATTCTATAGCTGTATATACTTACAGCTGTACTTCTTTTGTGCTCCAAAAAAACTTTCCCCTGCTGTGGTAGAGACATCATAATACCAGTGAAAAATCTCAAAACGTGATGGAGAGGGGCTGGGAGTTGTCTTCAATAGAGATCACATAACCTTACTGTGTCCCACTGCTCCGGTCATGTGCATT